TCTTTTTCCCCCGTCTTATCATATAGGTAAATTATCAACCCTACTGCCACAGGATTACTGAAAAGATCAAATGTAAAGGACACGGCAGGGATAAACAACTAAGAAACCAGTTTGCCTTTACCAGTGCAGCTATAACACAAACTCATCCTTTGTCTCTCTCCTAAAATATAATAGCCATAATAATGAAGAGCAAACGTATTTCCATACAGGACACAGATAACATTTCTGACATATGTGCAATGCTAAGGACTGATATAAAGGACATACTTGGAACCCCACAAAGCTCTTCCCTTAAACCTTAATGAAAGTTTTCTAGTGTTATACATTTCCTTCAAGCGTTCATCATTTCAGAAAGTAATTTGCCAAAAGTAGGCATAGTAACATATACTAGAACATCATCTTTCTCATCAGAAGTTGTTAATATTCAGATGTTGACTAAAAGACTCATGAACAAGGAACTCCTAACATCAAACCAAGCTCATGAAATAAATGCAGTGTTCCCACTACAGCTTCTTACTTCCACATACTTAAGGCTTAAAATCAGATACTGTTATCAGAAGCTCCCCCTTTTAAGACATAAAACACTTCGGTTTAAGAGTAGCCAGGGCTATCTTTAAGTAACATTTGCTAGCTGAAGTGTACACTGTAATTCTCCCTCCCGCCAAGACAGTATTAGTTCAGATAATATTTTCAGATTCTTAAAAACAGGATGCTATTTTAAAGAAAACCTACCTATACAATATATACATTTGTGAAATTGGTCATCAATTGTTACTGACAAGCACAATAGTTAAAAAAGGCTGCTACTTTGAGAATAAATGTGAAGGTATAAAATCCACAATATACTTTTGGTTTCCTTGATCAAAGAAAAAAATGGAAGTTTGGGAAGGGTTTTGCTTTGTTTTCCTCTAAAGGAAATTCATACAAGTAAACTTGTTCTCTCACTTTTTTTAAGCATTTCTCCTTCAATAACAAAGTGACTTACTTATGAAAGTGAAGGAGCTAAAAATTACCGTAAGGAACACTTTGAATCTACGCTCAGGACTTCCTACCATCACAATTTGCTATACTGCAAGGGTATTTTTGGTTATGCCAACATTAGCAAGTTGCTGATAAGCAGAAGTTGATGAGTAGATTAATACTGATTAGCGCAGAGGTCCCCCCCACAACTACATTACACATGTTTGTGGGGTTCTACTTGAAATCAGATATACTCTGGTCTCCTTGGACTGAGCAACCACAAGAAGCATGTGGTTTAACACTGTTTGAAGAATCAAGCAGTGGTCGGGGCCTCCACATCTCTGTTAACATGTGAAGGACAATTGATACATGCACAGTAGAAAGCTCAGCTTAGTTTCTGTGTATCAAAACTGTTTTGCACATAAATCAGGAGATGCATTTCATAACTGCACTGCTTCTCGAAATGAGAACGGTGATGAACATGCAGCCTTCAGCAGGCTCGTAAAATATGTAAATCCTAAACTTCAGAGAAAAATCTGTATTGTAAGGGGACTCTCAAAATGCAGTAGAAAACCAGTGACTGAGCTCTTCAAATTATAGAAGAGTTCAGGAAGCAACACATGTACTTTAGAGTTTTGCACAAGTACAAGGGACAGCTTATTTCTAAAGGGAATTTTATATTACAAATTATTTTATATATTATATATTTTTATATATAAATATATATTT